CCATCCCAACTCCACATCCCTCCATCCCAACCCCACATCCCTCCATCCCAACCCCACATCCCTCCATCCCGCGGGTTTCTATCCCACATTCCCACCCCGCTCCCCCATTCCAGGCTGTTTTCCTACGTGTCCCCGGCGCTGCTCTCCCGCCCCACGTTTTCCCGGCTCCTGGCGCTGCTGGATAATTACGAGCCTCAGACGGGGCGGGCGGAGGAGGTGACGGGGGAGGAGCAGCGGGAGGAGCGGGAATTCCTGGAGGCCGCGCTGGACACGCCGGTCCTGGCGCTGCTCGAGAACTTCGTGCTCAGCAAGGGTGGGATCCGGGGGTCCTCCCGGCCCCAGAATGTCCCCGCCGTGTCCCCAGAATGTCCCCACCGTGTCCCCAGAGTGTCCCCAGTGTGTCCCCATAATGTCCCTGCTGTGTCCCCAGAGTGTCCCCACCGTGTCCCCAGAATGTCCCCACTGTGTCCTCACGGTGTCCCCCCATCCCTGCCGTGTGTCCCCCATCCCCCAGTGTCCCCACGGGGTCCCTGCAGTGTCCCCACGGTGTCCTCACAGTGTCCCCACAGTGTCCATATGGTGTCCCTCCTGTCCCCATGGTGTCCCCACAGTGTCCCCAGGGCTAAACCCCCCGTCCCCATGGCCCACTCCCTTCCCAGGGCTGTCCCCATGATGTCCCCTTGCTGTCCCCAGGGCTGTATTCTCTGTCCCTGTGATGTCCCCACACTGTCCCCAGGCTGTATCCCCTGTCCCCTCGCTGTCCCCTCACTGTCCCCAGGGCTGTATTCTCTGTCCCTGTGATGTCCCCTCGCTGTCCCCAGGGCTGTGACCCCTGTCCCTGTGATGTCCCCTGTCCCTGTGATGTCCCCTCGCTGTCCCCAGGCTGTGTCCCCTGTCCCCATGATGTCCCCTCACTGTCCCCTCGCTGTCCCCTTGCTGTCCCCAGGCTGTGTCCCCTGTCCCTGTGATGTCCCCACGCTGTCCCCAGGCTGTATCCCCTGTCCCCTCACTGTCCCCAGGGCTGTGACCCCTGTCCCTGTGATGTCCCCTGTCCCCATGATGTCCCCTCACTGTCCCCAGGGCTGTATCTCCTGTCCCTGTGATGTCCCCACGCTGTCCCCCAGACTGTATCCCCTGTCCCCTCGCTGTCCCCTCACTGTCCCCAGGGCTGTACCCCTGTCCCTGTGATGTCCCCTGTCCCTGTGATGTCCCCAGGTCTGTACCCCTCGGCCGAGTCCTTCCGGACTGACCTTCACTCCATGTGGTTCGGGCTCTACTCGCGCTCGGGAGGGAAAGTTCTGGATTCCTCCGGCTTCGAGCACGTGTTCTGTGGTGAGGGGACACGGGAGGGG